ATGAGATTCTCTCCATGTAAGATGAAGTTTGAGGATAGTAGATATCTTAGATGTTGTTATATGATTTCTTGTTGCATATAGGTTGTGCATGCAGTAGGTTAGGCAACACCTCACACATCGTACATTCATACGTAAGTTCATAGTTTTTTAATCTATCAAGGATCACAACATTGAGGCAGTATATGTGCAATTACATTTTTTGTTTTGTGTGGCATGTTTGATTGCTTGGAAGTAACTTCGTCACTTCAGGTTGAGGTGAAGTCTCAAGTGAGATCACGATCTGTAGAGAATAACATGCTTTGATTAAAATCCTTGAACTTCACCTTACGGAAAACTGAAGTCACTGTAGAAGAACTTACTTCTAACATATATTGATTATGCCAAATGGACGAAACATTGTATGAAATCATAAAGCAAAACATAGTAAGTTATTTGAGTTTTCTCTAGACTTGAACTCATTCTGTGCTATTGCTGTCACTCTTCCTATGTATTCAAAAAATTAGAATGGAAATGGTGCCATCAAATCTTTGAATTTTCCCAGTCATTATTTGTAGCATTAAGCTATCAATACCAGTATGTACTGGCTGATCTGATATTAGCACCAACTGGTATACTCAAAAGAACTAATAAAAGCATGTTTATATGTTGAAATATATTTGGTATCAGTATTACAGTTGGTTAAACCTTTTAAATGGGATACTATTCACAACAGCCACATATCTTAGGTGACTCTCCTGGATGCTTAACAGTCCTCAATCACCGAAGGACAAGAGCATTAGGCAGGCCTTGGATCCAAGTTTTTCTTAGATCTTTTCTTGATTGAAAGAAACAATCTAGACATGAAGAGAAATTTCAAATCTATGCATCCAAGCATATGTTGGTTCATTTTCTTGTTCAACATGAAGAGAAGTTTCAAATCTATGCATGAAAGAAATATATTTGCACTATGCAATCATAAAGAAACTTGGTTATCTTATATGTTCAACTTGATTATTTTTCATGGAAAAATCAATTTTCAAGGCAACAAAAGCTTGCTTTCATGGAAATTTAAGTTTTCAACATTTTCTGAAATGGTAGATGAACAGTGTATAGCTGTCCCTGTAAGCAACACAATTCCAATTGTATTTTGGTCATCATGAAACCATAGATCAAGATTATCTTATCAAATTAATCATGTAGCTGCTAAATGGTTTGTTTCCAAAAGGATCAACTAGTCAATGGATCATCTCTTTCGCTTAACAAGAGAGGTTTCTGGATCTTAAGAGTTGAGACAGTGAACAGAGGCTAAACCAAGTATGAAAATACTTGTGCAATTTAATAGATAAGGAGATAAGTATCAAAATGGTCTATCCCCTTCATTTGCGCTAACAATGTAACTGATAGGTTAAATTTATGCTTTTTCACATGGTCTTTTAAACACCCATTTAGATATATTCCCAGGTGGTAAATCAGTATGAGTCAACTTGTTATTGGAGATTATTGATTGGAAAAAATGATGTCAATGCCCTAATAACACATCAAAGTCAGATCCTTAAAAAGAGAACAATTTTAAAATAGGTAATATCCCCTAGCTTCAAAATCACATTAATTAGGATTTCACCCACTTCAGTGTTATCTTCTAGGAACTACTATATTGGTGTTTTAGGTGCATCCAATGAAGGAATTTTCAGAATTAATCTGTAGAAGCATCTCATGGTAACAATAATATGTTCTTGGTAAAATGGGGTTATCTCATTTGATGTATGCTTCCAACATAAATCTAAGATAAAGTTTGTTCTCTTGGCCAGCCAGTTTCTGGTATGCCTTATCAATAACTTATGAGGATCCAAGCTTTCGAGCTTATCAAATGAGAGTATTGAGATATATAAAGCTCAAAAATCTTGTTTTAGCTGCACAGGGCTGTCCTCTTAACAAATCTTTTATTTAAGACCTACAAGGGTCTTTGAGACCAATTCGAGGATCAACATATGAATTAATAGCTTCATATATCCTTGTCTACCATGGCATACTCCACACGATTCAATGTTTAACACAAATGAAGAGATTTTTTTTATTTTTCATAGGTCTATATGATTATTTTGAAAAGCCCATTATACACAAAATGTCTGAGCTTTCTAAATCATGAGAAATTGTCTATTTTGGGATGGGTCCTATATGGTTTTATCTTGGAACCCAAAAGGCACATCTAGAATTAAATATGACCATCATAGCCCCTAGTTAGGGAGTCAAGTCCTCTTCAACCCTATAGAGGGTATCATTTGATAAGATCCACACTAGCAATTACTGTTATTACCTCTCTGAGCCACAAGAACTATATGCTTTCGGGTTGACTCCACATAGTTTTGCTCTTTTGAGGTGGAGTGGTGGATCTCAAAAGGCACCTCTGAGAGTATAATCACCTTTGGACTATTTTGGACCTTGTTCTTCAACTTTCCAATCAATGTGAGACTAAATATGATCTTATCACTCATGTTGATTAGAATCTTTATAAAATTGAGCAAAATCTAGCATCCATGCTATATAGGAGCATAACTAATAACGAGTATTCAGACTTCCGACTTTGTAGCACTACATGTCATAAAGGAAAGAACCTTTTATCGGATGTGTTCCTTTTATCGGATGTGTTTAGGTCCAAGACATCTTGTTACTTGAATTTGAATGGTCTACATCGTCATATTTCTTTTGTTATTCCCAAAGACTTAAGATGATAAAAAAAAAAAGAAGACAATTTAGCTTTTGAATCCAACTATCATATCCTAAAATGAAGGGTAAAGTTAATCAACATCCATGGGTGGTAATTGGTATAGTTGGTTTTCTAGCAAACATGGTTGTGCCAAGCTTTATTAGGTTTTCTCTTAAGCTTTTTGCATTTTGGATATTGGAGTTTTTTTCTTCTCCTTTCATTTACTGAGGGAGAAAGTTTCTAGTCGACCGGTGAAGTTATAAACTATAGGAATAGGAAATAGGAGTCATTAGGATAGTAATGGTGGTCAGTGCTTCAAACAAGATTGACTTTGTTCTTCATCTCAAATATTATCTTAGGCAAAATTATAGTCTGATAAAAGCGCATCTTTTTAGTCTTCTGGTTAACAAGTTTCCTTTGACCTCTAAAGCAGCACCTCAGAGTCATAAATCTAATCACTAATAAGCTTTCCTTTCACAATGTGAAGCATACAGAGAGAGAGAGTGCAGTCTATGCATCCTTTCACAATGTGATTTTTATTGGTCTCACAGCCTATCGATGTGCAAACCAAGATATGCTTAGTACAGGGCCTGTACCGCCTAGTATGTCAGGTATGGGGCCTTTGCCTTCAATTTCTTGGTACAGGATGTTTCATGCTGTACAGAGTGGTATGAGCCCGGTACTCGATGATTTATTTTTTTATTTTTTTTCAAAATTTTTCTGAAACTCGGTACCTACCGGAGAACCCGTATCAGTTTGGCATGAGCCAAAATTTTTTTAGACTTTTTTCAAAATTCATTACCGATATGTGAAATTATGAACCTTGCTCTATATAATGCATACATGTATAATAATCTAAGACTTAGTACTGTGATTTTGCATGTATATAAAAGCCGTGTATACTACTGTATGGAAACATGGAACACTGGTGTCCCTCTTAAACTTGGTAATATGACAAGTTAACAGCAAACCAAAAATACAAAATCTTACCAAAAATGGTTGCTTATATACATCTACTTCAAGATATGCATAGATTGTTATGCACATTAGTCATCAATGAAATTGCTTGAATTAAGTAGGAATTTGCTCCAACAATTATGACAAGCTTTCCAAAAAGGTGGTTTAGCAAAAGCTGGGTTCTCATTCACACACAACATTTATATGCAGAAAAGGAGGAAGTCTCTGCACTATCTCAGATGCTGCATCATGCCAGATTTTTCTCTACACTGAAAATTGAAGACAAATTGCATCAAACTGATTGTAAATGAAGACATACTGAGTCTCCCTATGATATGATTCAACAATGTATTTATTCTTCATCTTTTTTTTTATCTATTTATATGGTGACTGTGTTTTTACCTTGTATCTAAGATTATGTTGAGAAAGGCGGGAAAATAAATATCCCCTAGATTATGCGAACAGATTATGACAATGTATCGTTTGGTGGCAGATCATGACAATGTTTCGACACTCATTATGGGTAGTAAATTGGTCGGCTGTAATGCTGATGACAACATATACTTGTTTTGGTGATCATCTTACAACAATTCCACTGATACATTTTTGTAATCGAATGAGTAATCTCAATAACCTAAATCCCTAGCAAAGAGTACAATATATATCAAACTCTTAACATCACAGGTTGGGCAAGAGGTGAGCTTGATGCCTAGACTACTGCCAGCAGCCATTAGAACAGATTGCTGGGATCGCTAATTGACAGCAATCCTCCCTTTGGTTTGTCATGCCAATGTGACAGACCACAAATTGCCGAGTTATTCTTTGATCATGTTGCTGCACTTAAAGGATGCACAGTGTTTGAGAGAGTAGAATAAGATGTGATCAATCTGTTCATTTTTAACTTGTATTGCAGAAAGTGTCACTAGAGAATGTTATCTCTCTTCTATTGCTTCCTCCCAAGTCTTGCTTTTTTTATTGGGGACTACTGATATGATACTAATGCTTAGGATCATGTTATGAGCATAAACCAGTTTGTTTGTATGCACAACCCAAAAGATTATTAGCAGCCAAAAACCAGCAAATATATGCCCTCGCAATTATTGCATGTAAATTTATTATGCTAAATCACATGTAAGTTTATCATCGTACATAAACCACAGGTACAACACTTGTTCAAACAATTACCCATCACAAGTCCTACTTATCGGTTTTTGCTTCCCTTTTTTGAACAACTAACAATTTAAGTTGATCTTTCTCTCGGGGGGGTTTTAATGTACATTGAATTGGATCGGATGAAATCATCCATGCAGTTATCAACAAATAGAAAACACCAGACAATCACTATGATGCAACTCCATTGAGTAGGGCAACAAGGAAATCCACAACATATATAGATGTACAAAGTAGTTTCTATTAACAAGTTAGTCAATACTACGTAGACTTTGTCATCGGCACACGCAAGAGTTCAATATACATATATGGATGTACATGAAACAAACACCAGGCAAGCACCAATACCTCATTGCTGAAGTTCCACTATCAACTCGCATTCCAAAGCTTCTTTTTGTAAGGAAATCGCCTTCTAAGCATCAAGGGAAGAGAGGATGCCCCTCATCAGGGAGAAGCCCATACAAAGTAGTTGCAGACAGCACGCCTAGCTGCGGTCCAATTCCCACACCCAAAGAAGCATCTACCTTGGTTTGGTCCAGGCTTGCGGACGACAGACTTGCTACTCAACACCCCACAGTAACAGTATGTATGCTTCTCCTTCCCAGTGGAGTCCATGAACGGATGAATCTGGACAGGCGCGCCAAACACTTCTTTAGGCTCTTGAGTGTGTTCAGATCGATCCAACGAGAAATCACAGGATGCCTTGTATTTCATGGGAACATCCATAGATTGCGACTCTAATGACTTGGTGATGGAGAACTTGATGCCCATATCCATGAGATGAACCAGGAGGTGGGCAGTGTTACGGGCATCATCAAGGCCACAGTGTGCACGGCCCTCCCACGTCAAGCCAACATGCTCGACAGCATCCTTGAGACCGCAGCGGATGCCTTGAAACATTTCCTGAAATGGAACCTTTAAGTTGATCCACCTGATCAAAATTAAAGAAAAGAAATTTTTTGCATCACTTCGCAAGCAGTCACACTTGAATGCTTTAACTATATTGCCGTAATTGGGAATTGTATCAACATGCAAACAGAAACGTTGATAAGATTGTTAGGAATTATCATCAAGGAACCTAAAATTAGAATAGAAATCTCTCGCTTGTGGAATGTTAAGCACACACCACAACAACTAATCGAGTATCACAGGATCAACAGGCACTCTTTTTTGCTTGGTTATATAGAACCAAGAACAGCCTCCTTTTATATGGGGACTTGAGGCTAATCAAGTTTGATACATGGGGAGGCTGAAAAGTCTTCACTAGAATTTCTACAGTGGCATAAATTATTGCTGATGAACAAAATCTAAATTGTCTATACCACAACTGTTGTTCACCAAATGAAACACAACTCTTTGCAAGCAAGATTAGGTGTTGCACCTGTGAAGAAGAATTTCCACGGATCATCGAGAAGCATAGTGATTATTACCTGTTAAAGTAAGCAGGCTTTCTGATCCTTTTTAATTTGCATTCAGATTCTAACATAACACAGCAATCCCAGTCACCCCATGTTACTACAGCAAAGGTTTTGTGCTTAATTCCTTTACTTTCCAACCATTTATCATGCATGATTAGAGCTTCACTGAGAAGAACTCCTCTGTCTACCTGAGAGTACACAAAATAAAGAGAAGTTAGTAGCTTCATATCAACAGAATACCAAACAACCCATTCAGGTGGAAGAAGGTTTTACACTTCAAAGTTCATTTCATTGGTTGGGCCCCGCTTAAGATAAGGCTCAGTTTAGGAAACATTTTTCATTGGTTAATTTTTGCTATAATTTTGAATAATGTTAATTTTGATGTTAATCTTCTTTTATTTTATTATTTTATTATTAGATTCGGACAATTTAGCACTTTAATGTTCAGTAGATAGTTAAATGAATGTAATTTGATATTTAGCGGTGTAAACATATTATTAATGACAATCTCTTGCTTACTTCTTGCAATGTTTACACATGGTTGAAACCAGATGTTACAGGTGTGGTTGATGCTACGGGTGAGATAAAATATTTTATCATGTTGATTTATTGACCTTTACGGATGCTTATCTAAAACATTCAATAAGAATACTATCAGATCATGCCAACAAAACAAAGATCCTATCAATACAACTCTCAAATGGATTGGTGTACAAAAGATCAGTTTCAAACTGTGCCAAAGAGCCTATTTTTCACCATTAACTTATTGCTCATTGAAATTCACAAAACCCTAAAACAAAAAATAATGACTTATAATATGTCATCGACTTCAAACCAAAATTAAAAATAATATTCCCAGGAAGTTTTATTTAAAGATAATTTTTTTTTATTTATAATAGTTCAAAATGTTTTTTTTCTAACTCAATTAACAAAGTCAGCTAAATCAAGTATATTGAATAATGAAATAGTCTCCATTACTAATTCATAAAAGATGGTACTTCATAGTACAAGTATTACAAACACTTGGATATCATTAAAACAGTATTTTATATGGACACATAAATTCCTAGCTAAAAACTTAATGTAATTACCATATGTTGAGGAATGAAGAATAACAAAAACATGTAATAGGGATGTATGCTGTGAGATAAATTCATAATAACCTGAAATTGTTGGATCCCGGTGAGTTGCTTGCAGTAATCAGTGAGATGTTTATGATATGCAGGCCTCACGTATGTTTGAAAAACAGCTTCTAGTTGACCAGTTGCACTGTTAACCAAGACAGATGGAAACTCAATGATCTCCTGAGGATGTAACTTCCTGTCTTTGTCACATGTGGCCTCAAAGTCAATAACTACAAAGTACTGAAATTCTTGAATTTGAACTTTATGTTGGTGAGCATGAGGAAACATCTTGACTGGTGGCATGTAACTGCATCCACTTTCAACAGGAATTGAATAATCATGGATTATTGGATAAATATTGTTCTCAGAGGCACTCAATTGGACTTGCTGCCGCCACATTACAAAATCAGGTGGCTGTACAAATGCTTCCTGTTTGTAGAGTGATGCACCGTAACCTTTATTTAATATTGCATAAGGCTCCAAGATTGAGTAGTTTGCTTTCGCAGAATCACAAACAGGCACACCCTTTTCATCTTTTGGCTCCGGCAGGACGTTCCAACTTTCTTGAGAGTTAGAATGAGATGCATTATACTTGGGATATCCTAAGAATCCCTCATGGATTCCTTTTGTTTTTTCTGCATTCGAAAAGACACTATGAGCAGATGTCATAGTTTCATATTAATAATATGAAAAGTGACTACAAAAGAAAAATCCACAAACAGAAATTGACAAAGATCGCTACGAGCTTGCACAACAAACAAAAATTCATAAATATGAGATCAAATTCTTAAGTACTAATGTGGCAAAACTATGACAGAGAAAGTCAATAGCATGCACGCCAAAAATTCATAAGATTGCAGAAAATGCAACACAGATTTTTGAGCCAAATGTAGCACAACTATGTGAAAAATAGATTCAAGATAAAGCTTCAAGAGATGCAAGTTTAATATCCACACGCAGTGTATCAGCAAATCACACTATTGGACAAAATTTCATTAAACTAGATAAATAAATAATTCACAGCAAGGATTAATTCTTGGAAACAACATAAGTGCAACATCCTCGTAAAATATAAGGGTCATCGTTCTTTGTTAAGTTCAAACATAAGAGATCTGTTGATTATGAAACTATAGCAGAGGTAGTACCCAAGTCTTCAAGACATTTTAGTTAAGTTGGGCGTCCAATTAGGATTATGTTAAATGACAGTATAACAAAGCATGATCAAGAGCATGGTTCACCTTATCAGTCCGTACCAGTATACGGACCAGCTATTGGTACGGAATATACCGAGTTATACCGAGAGTACCGACACATGATATATGGGGGTGTATCAATATACCGCCTGCACTGATCTCCTATCGGATCAATATGTACTGCCCGTACTGAGTGATACGTCACGGTATGACAAAACTTGATAAAGAGATCTATTTATCCATGCAAATGTTGACCAGCATGAGCATTGCATGTGACAATGACACCTCAGCTCTCAATGAAAAATTGCAGATTAGTTTTAATAGGAGTACCGTCGAGCATCCATCATAGTTCCTCAGAATTTATGTCAGTGTTCTTGAAAACTTTTCTACATGATTTTAAACCATTAATGAAGTTCCATGAGGAGGAAGAACACACAGCTACTGGATAATATGTTTCGTCACCAACACACTTTAAGCTGCAAAGCCAATATATTCAATGACAAAGTCCCGTTATTATTTCACGTTCCAAGTTCATGATATTAAGCAACGCTTAACAATAAATAGAAGTTACGAGACATCCAAGATCACATGACAAGTCCACACATAGCATGTTTTCATCAAATAAAGCTAACTTCTCTAAACGCCAAATGTACGATCAAACAACTCCAAGTTTTCTAGCATAATACATAACCCATTTTTGTCGCATAGTAATATCAAATTGCTTATTTTATCAAAATATATGAATCAAGAAAAAGAAAAACAATCGAGTGAGCATAAATCCAACATTAACTCTAATAAGAATTGACAGCAAAAATTATCAGAAGAACAAATATAAGTTATTTATAGAAACCCTTTAATCAGAACATAATGGTAATAGCAAACATATTAATCTTTCCAAGTCAACCATCCAACCAAATCCAAACCCCATTACCCACAATTCTCACCGCCGCCTCAGCGTTACAACCCTCGATATCGATGACCAACGCAAAAAAGACGCCAGTCTTTCACCAATTGTGCACACAAGACTCGATGATCTGATGCGGGAGAGAAATGATATCATCATCCGGTAGGAAGCTTCCTCAAACACAGCAATCTTACAACTCATGATTCCGACCAAATCCGAGCCTCACCATCTATAATTCTCATCAGGCCCCAACATTACAACCCTCGAAATCGATCACCAACCCTAAACGGATACCAATCTTTCGCCACGAGAATGCAGAAAAATCTGATGCGGGACAGAATACAAGAATATCCTACCTTTCGCTGCCGGGTCATGATTCCCGAGGAAGCCATGTCCCTCCAAAGCACGGAACAGATTATGTTTCCCGTCGCTCGACCTAAAACCCACGATCGAACCAAAATCAAAATCCAACGCGGTCAAAGAACGCGATCCGAGAACGAACAGAAAGAGCGCGAATTCGATCAAGAAGAAACCGAAGCTCCGCCAAAATCGAAACTGTTCTTACATGGGCGTGAGAGGAATCGAGCGGGGGAAGAAAGCGGCCACAATCTTGGTCTCGTTCTTCGCTGCGAGACGAGACCCGCGTGTTTGGACAAACAGGTCTCAGATCTGCTGTTTCTTTGCAAGCAGCAGACGCCAAAAAGAGGCGACCCATAAAACGTATGAGATACGTGGCAGTGAGTTGTTGGTGGAAATTTTCGATCACCGGCAGGAAGATTATGATCGCCAAGAGATGGGAAGCGTGGGGCCCACGAGACATATGTCGTTTTGCCACGATCCTACGGCTCAGATAACATCCGACGAGTCGGATCGGTCCCCGAAACGGAGAAGGAGTGGACTCGGGACGACTCGCGAGTCGACTCGAGTTCACCGCGTCGACTCAACGGGCTTCTTATTCCAGGCGATGTGCGACGCAAGCCCTAGCTGCTGCCGCTGCCAACTTCGTCAGCCGAGCACTTCTACACCGCCTTTGCACGTCGCCACCTCCCTCTCCTGCAGGTTCCGTCGTCTCCTCTTCTCCCGTTCCTTCTCTTCGCTTCTCCTCCCGTCTCTTCTCCGTCGCGTCTCCTCTTTCTCTTACCTCTTGCCCTCTCTTGTTCTCTCCTCCCATCACAAAGTCCGAATGCCTTTGTCTCCAGGAAACTTCGGTATTTGCTATCACAAGACTGTTCTAACTGCAAACTTTATGTGTTTATTGGACGATGTACCAAATGAAATGATGATATTTTGTTATAGCTACATATGTTGATCTTCTGTTATGGATTTTGATGATAATAATGGGCTAGTGTACTAAAGATGTTGTGCAATCTTTATTGGTAAGCATATTTTTTGCTGCACGTCAAGCATAGGTTGTAATGAAACAAATCCTGCAAGTATAAAGCATCCTCTGGTCTTTAGAGAGGAAAAAAAATGCATACCAACACCTACGTTGATGTGCCCATCATATTTGAAATCCTCCAAACTATTTATCTCCAACTTGATTCCCCCAACCTCAAATGCATTCACCAATTCATGATAAATTGGCACTGCACAGTGAATTGAAAATGAGGAACTGAAGTGCTCAGTAAGGCCTTGCATGAACGTGTGGTTTTGTGTTTGCCTTGAGTTTTAGCATTATGTAGCCTCTTATTGGAAAAAAAAAGATAGAGGTTATTATGCTGTTTACCGGTCATGATATAGAAAGCATGCATTTGGTCAAGGTCACAACTCACAAATCACAATATCTCTGGAAAAAGTTAGTAAATACAAAGTTGTTTAATTATTATAATAGCCATGTCATCACTAATACAAATATACAAACAGTCTTGAGTATCATTTTTGAGATGCTTAAGTGGCAAGACGGATTGAATCATTGTAAACCTGTAAAAAATACACAAAACAACAAATTATTATTAATTCAAATAAAAGATATGATTATCAAATTATGCCATCACTTTAATAAAAATGTAATCATTAGTTTAATATATGAGAGTTATTAAATCTTAACAGAAAAAATTATTTATAAAATTTTATGTGTATATATCATCGTAGAATTACTTTTTTATGAATTCTACAGTATGAGTTTATGGCCTTCTATACAATCCTAGGCAGGAAAGCCTGTTTGACAACCGTGGCTGGGGCAAAGGTGAGAATTTATGGATGATGGGATTTGGATTTGGACAGATGGTTGACTTCAAAAGCTTGTTATGTTTGTGATTGCCACTGTATTCTGGTTAAAGGGCTTCTGTAAATAACTTACAGTTGTTGTTCTGATTATTTTTGCTTGTTATTCTCGTTAGATTTTTGCTGGATCTATGTATGCTCACTTGATATTATTTCATTTTAGAAGTAGAGTTATGTGCTTTACTTAAAAAAACACATGCATTCTTTTGCTAGTGAGCTTGGAGTTTTTTTATAACACTACTTACGATGAAGAAATTAGCCTTCGTTGATAGAAACATTCTCTGCGTAGACTTGTCACATGGTCTTGTATGTATCATGACTTTCAGTTGTTTAACTGTTGCCTAATATCTTTAGGCCTGCATAAACTTGGAACTTGAAATAATGCTGGGACCTTCTTATAAAATTATATTGAGTTTGCAGCTTAAAGTGTCAGCTTAAAATTATGCTCAATCTTGACCTCTGCCGAATGCCTGAAAGAATCTGATATCTGAATGGGTGGAGGTGTCGCCATATGGGCACTCCGAAGAGCTGCTGCTCGTTCCATGAGGTGAGTGTTGCAGTCCTGTTGCCTTTGGAGTTCGTTTTGTGGAATCCGTTCGGAAGGTCTAATCTAAATCCAAATATTGCTTATATTTCCCTGTCATGGTTTGCTGAAGTTTAACTGTTGGTTTGTTAGGAGTACTAATTGTTTGCATGCAAATGGTTTATTTCATGAATGCATTTTTTCTTTAAATGTTGTCATGTTTTATTTGTGATGTATGTTTGCAATTATATCTTGTCATATGTGATTTCATCTTCTTACAAAGATATTTTGCCATTTAAGAAAGAAGTAGTAGTCAATGTTTTATGAATTATAAAGTTATGTTCATCTTATGCCTGATAAAATATGGTACATCAGTCATTTCTTGAGTGCATACTGCATACTATATTTACCTTTTCTGGTTCGTCTTTGATGTTTCATTTTTTCGGGGCTTATCTTAATAATTATTAACATTTGCAATCTAAGTGCTTTCAAATGGTCCAATTTGTTCGAAAGCAGATGTATGTTGTTGATCTTTATTTCTTGTACCCAGAGACTAAAGTATTAGGTTACTTGTAACTTGTGCATGCCTGATAAACAAGCATGGTGATGTATTTAGCTGGGTTTTAATGAGATAACAGAGGATACAAGTCTTATTACAACTTACCATTGGAGATCATATCCTACATTGGCTGAGCTAGTAACTGGTACAGGAAACAGTGATTTTTTTTAAAATATTGATAAGAGGTGATATTGATTTGTTTAATGTTAATCTCAGGGGTCAGAGTCACGACATTATGTTAGCTCATGTGTGCTGCATGGATTCTAAATTATCAAGAAATAGCTTGGTTCATGAAAAAGGGCATTGTGACATTTCCAAGGGTTGCATACTGTTGAAGCCATACTCCAGTGGGTGTTCTTATTCTGTAATGTCTTTTCTATGGTGTCGAAAGCTTTCATCTGATGTTGGAGCAAGACAGGGCCAGAAGGATGATGATTTAGAGGATGGGTTTTCTGACAAAGAATTACCTCCAGAAGCTGATGCAATGGTAGAACTTGAGGAGAATGAGAATGATGAGGAGTTGGTGTCTGAAGGAGAGATCTCTGAAGAAGACACAAAGATAACTGCTAATGACTCACTTGGTTTGTTGGACTGTGTATCAGATTTTCCTATGAAGAAGAGAAGACGGGGAAAGAGGGCTCAATCTCCACTTTTCAAGATCATAATGGGAGCTCCATCAGACTCATTTAACAGCACACTTGATAAGTGGGTCAAAGACGGTAATCGTTTGGGACGAGATGAAATTTCTTTTACAATGCTGAATCTTAGGAGATACCGGCTTTATATGAAAGCTCTACAGGTGAGAGATTTTTATCAATATGAACTTAGAATGTTGTTTGTTGTTTTTTTTATTTTTGATGTTGAACTCAATTGACTATGATTTTACTTGGTTAGACAAGTTTCTTTCACTCTTTGATTTTTGCAAGTCTTGAATCTACAGCATGACATTTTGTGAGCAAATCACTTTGCATATTATATGTGAATTTGCTCTTACTTTAGGTTAAGAGTATGAATAATTTAAGTGTCACATAGTCTATCGATACCAGTCAATCTTGACACATTACTCTGTCGTGCCATAGCATTCCTTACTGTGCTTGTGTTAGCATGTGCAAGGATGAGTTGCTGGGCCCTAGACTGACCATCCATGAGTGTCACATGCTGCCACAGTGTGCCACACGACCCAGTAACACTAATATTGACATGGCAGAAGGGGGTGTGGAAAATCTGTAAGTTCCCAACATGGTAGTTTGACACTGCACCATGCAAAACAGTCGGAACTGACCTGTACTTTAGCCCATGAATAGGACATGAGATTGAACCCTGTCCCCATCTTCTCTCTTTAAACCAAAAAGTGGTGATGAGGAAAAAGATAAAAGAATAGACAAAATTAAAGCTTACTTGCCATCATATGGAGGGTATCCATGACACTGTTTGCCTTTTGCTTGCAGTTGAAAAATCGAATGTCATTTGCCTTCCTGTTGCCCTTGGTCCTTCTATGTTCAAGAGATTTGAGCAGGATGATGAACACATTTTCATTTTTTGTGTAACTGCATAATATATTACACCTTTTTTATAAATAGTGGCGGGAGAAGATTACATTGATGTTGCTTATGTAAAGAAAATATTATATAAACCTTTTACTGTACCAACTGATTTCACAAATTGTTCCATAACCATAATAGAACATATCTATGGTGCCCTATCACAGAGAATGGGGCTGAAATCATACTTATCATAGTTCAAACTCATGGCCAGTGCCCTTTTTATGTTGATCTTTTTTGTCCATTTCCAAGGCACTCATATCAATGCTCTTATTGTCCAATTATGGAATGGTCACATCTCTCCTATTGTGGTGTTGCATATTCCATTATGGTCACTTAGTATAGTGATGGAGCTAGCAATTTGTTACAGAAATATATACTGATGGTTATGTCAAAGTGACTTGTGAAGGATTTGAATGAGTGCATTATTTAACAAATCAATCATGAAGCATTATTTGTGAAATCTAAATTTGTATAATTGATCACTTAATATCATACATCTATGGAATTTTTGCATACATTCTATTCTTGCATTATCTATCCTGTTTTCTTTTTTTATTTCTCTTTCAAGATTGGCTTAATTATTGGTATCAATATCTCTGCAGTTTTGATTGCTAATCTCTAGCTTTGGATATTTCCTCAATAAAGCTTGTTGGTTTAGTTTTGGTACTTTACTGAAATTAATAAAAAAATAGGGGAACTTAATTTGTGCTTTGACTTGAATTTTCTCGACAAACAAATCTGAATATATCAGATATTCCAATCTATACATCTAAATGATTGATTTATATAATCATAATTATGGGTGTATTATCCAGGGT